CAAATTACTAAAACAAAATAGCAAAAAAACAAAAACGTTTTTGGATATACCTTTTGAACTAAATGGATTTTGAATCCATTTGACAATAAGGATAATGTTGGATGATTCAAAATCAAGTCAGTTTAACCCACCTTACTTGGGTTAAATGAATGTGACCAGAGAGGGATTGATGTCCTACAGCTGGACTGGTATGTGTTTCTGTTTCCTATACAATCACACAAGTCACTGCTTATTTATGCACTGTGTAGATTAGATGCAGATACATAAATCATCAACCAGCCTTTCTGTGCTCTTTGCATCTTTGTTTATTAACCAGATGTTATGTACTCAACAAGCTATGGCCTCTCGCTTTACAGAAACCTTAGTTTTCGCTTCAACAAAACCAGGGACATAAGAGCAATTTGCTCACAAACATGAAAATTGTTATCAAACACAAAGTTAAAGGTTAATTGCTATAACAGAGCCAAGCACTGTATCCAGTTCTCCAAATATCTTCCCCAATATCTTAATTTACAGAATATACTGTTAAAGCGGTCTTGTCCACAGTGTATAATACTAAAAGGAAAAAAAAAAAATGGATGAAATCATGTGCTCCTCAGCATTTGTCATCTTCTTGGTCTGAGTACAGCATCTCCTTGAATCGTCTCTTTTTTTCCATGTTTTCATTTACTTTTTGCCGTTTTTCCTGTTTCCTCTGTATGGATTCCTTTTTCATTTTCAGCAGTTCACTTTCCTCACCCTTATACGCAATTTCCAGTTTCTCGCGTAAAATCTCCCGTGCTCGTTTTCTGTTCAAATCCACCGATCTGGTCTGGTGACACTGCAAGAGAACATGAGCTCCTTTTATTAAAGTAGTTTGGAATTGACAGATTACACAAGTCGTGGCCTAATGGTTAGAGAGTTGGACTCGTAACCCAAAGGTTGCGGGTTCGAGTCTCGTACCGGCAGGGATTGTAGGTGGGGGGAGTGAATGTACAGCGCTCTCTCCCACCTTCAATACCACGACTGAGGCGCCCTTGAGCAAGGCACCGAACCCCCAACTGCTCCCCGGGCGCCGCAGCATAAAAAATGGCTGCCCACTGCTCCGGGTGTGTGTTCACGGTGTGTGTGTGTTCACTGCTGTGTGTGTGCACTTTGGATGGGTTAAATGCAGAGCACTAATTCCTAGTATGGGTCACCATACTTGGCCACATGTCACGTCACTTCACTTTTTAAGAGTATGTTGGCTTGACACCAATGCATCATGGGTGCCATTCTCTGAGGGTTTTGGGACATCACAACTTTGTCAAGAAAATAAAATTAGATATACACTTTTATTACTCAAATAACTTTGGTTAACTGGAGTTCAACTTATGCTATTCGTCTCTTCATTGATAGTCCATTTGTCAGGATCAACCATATTGACTAAAGCTGTTTATCCACTAATCCTAAAACAAAACCATTAATCGTCACCTACCAACAACACACAAAGACAAATTCAAACAACAACAACAACAACACACAAAACAGGTCATCGTTTCAAGATGTGCAAAGTTTTTTCGCTCTTTCAAATTATTTCCAATTCTCACAGATTTTCAGTTCAGATCTACTTATAACCATACTAGACAACACTTATCAAATGCATTTTTGTACTATAGTTTTAATTAATTAAATAATGCATGCACTGATAATTTAAACCCGAAGTAAAAATTTGATTTAACAACATTACAAATACAGTTTGAAGAAATTAATCAAGAAAGGGCAAAAGAAGCATATTAGATTGAGACATAAATGGCTAACAAAAGGGGAAAAGAATAACATACAGTATTTCTTTCATTTATAAATGTTCATACACTTTAAATTCAGCCTCAACTGATTCCAGTAACTTCTTGTGTGGTATTTCAGATGGCAATATTAGGTTATTTTGCAATAAAGAGGTAAAATCAGAAGTTAAGAAATGTATTGGCAATTTAAAGGGGTCATATGATGCGATTTCAATTTTTCCTTTCTCTTTGGAGTGTTACAAGCTCTTGGTGCATAAAGAAGATCTGTAAAGTTGCAAAGACTAAAGTCTTAAATCCAAAGAGATATTCTTTATAAAAGTTAAGAGTCAACCACGCCTACCTAAACGACTCGTTCTAACACGCCCCCCTAACATGTCTATGTCACTATGTGGGAAGATTTGCATAACGCCGCCCAAATGTGCACGCAAAGAAAGAAAGCGTGGTTTCAGGAACAGCAGTAGTGTTAATGCAGCCATGTCAGGGAGACGCTGTGTCAACATCATATGACCCCTTTAAAATAACAGATCATTGCCAAGCCTTTGGAAAAGTAACTAACACAGAGTCTCACTTTTTGCAGACCACACTGAATTATTACTCAGTGTCTTTGATAAAAATTAATTACAACTGTTTGTGTGTTAATAGTTTAGTCAAATTGTGTTTATCTCTAACTGTGACTTAGGCCTACATGAAGATCAGACCACATTTTATGAGTATTCAGTGCAGTAATTGACAGTTAAATGTACATAGCATGAAATTTTCAGTTAAACTAGCATGCATTTCACAGAAGCTTTTATCCACAGCCACTTACACTGCATTTCATGGTAACGTTATGCATTTGATCAGTTCTTGCATTCCCTGGGAAATCCACATAAAGGGTTCACAAACTTTTTCTGACAACTGTACTTTTTACATGATCATTTCAATTATTTACCCTATAAATCTGATTCATAATATGACATTAATTGATCGGGTTATCAAATGGTATACTATCACATCCATATATCGATATCAATTAATGAATGAACTTGAATATGTGCTAATGAATACTACCTTTACGACGATACCCGTGGGAATATGCCTGAGCACCACGCAGTTGCTGGTTTTGTTGGTGGCTTGTCCTCCAGGACCAGATCCACGAACAAACTGTTCATCGAGGTCTTTCTCGTGGACTGCTGGCAGGTCAATTTGGTATTTCTTACCAGCAGCGAAAACACACGGCCATCCTGTTACCCGTAGCCACGGCGGATGGAGTATGAGGCTCGTCCCTGTGTTCAGCGATCCCCAGAGCAGCTTCCAGGCAGCGAAAAGGCGCTGATGGACTAAAAGAGGCGAAGTCATCCTTCAAAGTTTCAAGTAACATCCCTGAAAATAAACTAACACAAAACTCCCAATCTGATAGAAATACACAGCATAATGCAGCAATGTACTACATACTGTACACACTGAACGTCACGAATTACTTCTTCTTTTAGTTTTAGATTATTCACAGACTGTGTTCATACCGCCACCTACTGGGCTGTTTTATTTTATTTTATTTACCCAGAACAAAATAGACTAGCATAAGTACAACTGTAAGTCCTTACAGACGGAGACATAGCTACTTAAATATATTAATACTTAATACATTTTACAAAAATACAATACAAACAGGAAAATTATAAAAATAAAATAATAAATAAAATACATAAACATTATAGGTGGTTAAGCAAAATCAGACTGATTAAACAAATCAAATGATCCTAGCCTTGTAATTTTGCAATCAGGATTATGCTACTGCTGTTAATAATAATAATAATAATAAATCTACAACATTTAGTATATCAATTTAATTATAAATAATAAAACTTACAATTACTATATAATTGTGTACTGTGTAAATAATAATAAATAAGTCCAGTATTCTTATGCAGTTAACACAAATGACTGTAACTTTGCCAGCATAAAAAAACCCCAACATGTGCAGTGCCAACAATGCAAGAAAAGCAAGAAAAATCTAGTTTATGTCAGGTCTTTGTGGCCTAAATCTTGTGTAATAAATTCTATCTTGAATCAAACAAAAATATTTCTTTCTAAAGCTACTTTTCCACTTTTTGCTCTCCTCATTTGACACAATGATGGCTTTAAATCTTATTTTGGGGGTAATTTGTAAGCCAAATTTAATGTCAGATTAATTAGCGATGTCTTAATTAATTAGTTAATACATAATTCGGGTGAATGCAGATGTGGGCCACTTTTTGTTAAACGTAATTTAGTTCTTTTTCTTATCTTTTCTCTTTATGTTATTACGTTTAACTTTACTTTTAACAGTAAAGCTGTAGTATTTCAATTTGTATTCAATCCAAAAAGATGTTATTTGCAAGGTAGTCAGTTTCTTAAAAAATGATCAACGGCTGATTTTTTGTTTTGTTTTTGTCAAAACTTTATTTGAGCATGTAGTATATGTTAGTAGACAACATTGTTATGTTGCAAGTCACCCAAACAATATTTTTTATTTGTTTAAAATCTAACAATACAGTGATAATATTGATAATTGTGATCATTTCGGTAACTATGAAATTTTCATGCCGTTTTATCTTTAATAACAATAACTATGTAAAATAATTCTCAGGGGGTATTAAGAGTAAATAATTTAGGCCAAAGGGGTTCAGTTGACAAAAAATGTTTGAAAGCCTCTGATTTAGAGAAATAGTGTCTCTTTAATTAAAGACCATTTTTATGCTCTGAAAGTGTAAACCCTCTGAACACAGTTCAATCCAGCTTAAACAGCCCACTTTACCTGTGATCACCCAATCTTATCTGAAAATCTTTATATAGATTTATTATTACAGATTAATATTGTGTTTATTAGTACACAAACTTACATATGTAATTGAATCAACTATCGAAAGCAGTTAAGATAAAGTTAGTTTGATTAACATTTAATTAAACAATGTATAAAAATAGCACTTAATTCATGTTCGTCAGCTATTTTTGTTCCCTGGTCTGAACGTATAAAGTGGATGTTGGTCAACAAGATCATTAAAATTAATCTTGCATGTTCCGACTGATACATTGCACTGGGTCAATAGGTCAAATGAATGCACTTATCTACAAATATATTCAAAATGGAGTGAATTGAGTTTTGATGCAATCCTATTCTTAAGAAAGAAAACCAACATAATGTTTAAGAAAGATATTTTATTGATGTTGCAGCAGTCCTCTGTAATACCATCAGTTGATATTTAAGAGATGCTGAGCTTTAGTTGTAATGAATACTATCAGACTGCAAATGACCTTATTTACAAATAAATTAGCCATTAAGAAAGTCTTTCTACATTAACGGATAAACGAGATACAGACTCTTCCTGCTTTGACTTTGAAGAAAGTCAAATAGTAAACAGTGTTGAAGTGAATGGGGTTAATTAGCCTCATTTGGTTGCACAGTTACAATGAATTTTCTGCCAAAACTAAATATTGTTCAGCTCTGTAACCTTTCGGTTACGCCTGGACAATGATTATGCATTGAATGCATACTCATTCCTGTACAATATCTGAGGGCAAAATGTCGTTCTGGAATCACATTCCTGTGACATTTATTCAATGGGGAGGAATATAAAAGAAAGTAAGAAAACGGTTGAATTCTTGTAGAAATGCAGGAGAAGGCTTTAGACTGGCGAGGACTTGTCTTAAAATTGACACCTCGCTACCTATTGATGCCCAATCTCTTCTGGAAGGCATCACCATCTCCCTTAGTGGCTTTCTGTGTGAAAAACAAGAAAAAATGATGACAAATTTAAATATTTTTCCTAATCGCAAAACATGACCAGAATGGTTCCGAAAGACGCACCTTGTTGATTTCCTTGGGCCGCTCCTTGCTGACAATTTCTTCTAAAATTTCCCCGTCACCTCTTACAAGCCTGTATGAAAGTTTATCAAGTTAATGTTTTATTATGTTTTATGCCCCTCAGGGATGTGTTCTCTCCCCACTGCTCTTCTCCCAAACGAATGCACTGCAAAAGACCCCTCTGTCAAGCTCCTGAAATTTGCAGATGACACTACCATCACTGGAGACGAGTCTGCTTACAGACAGGAGGATAAAGAGCTGGCACGCTCAAAACAGTGGAGATGATCGTGGACTTCAGGAGGAACCCCCCACTCAGTGGAGTCATTCAGAATCCTGGGCACCACTATCTCTCAGGACCTGAAGTGGGACAATCACATTGACTCTATTGTGAAAAAGGCCCAGCAGATTCTGTATTTCCTTCGCCAGCTGAGGAAGTTCAACCTGCCACAGGAGCTGCTGAAACTGTTCTACTCCGCCATCATTGAGTCTGTCCTGTGTTCATACATAACTGTCTGGTTTGGTTCAGCTACCAAATCAGACATCAAGAGACTACAACGGACAGTCAGGACTGCTGAGCGGATTGTCTGTGCCCCTCTGCTCCGCCTCCAAGATCTTTACATCTCCAGAGTGAGGAAAAGGGCTAAGAAAATCACCTTGGACCCCTCACACCCAGCCCACTCTCTCTTCCAACTGTTGCCTTCTGGTCGGAGCTACAGAGCACCGATCACCAGAACAGCCAGGCACAAAAACAGTTTTTTCCCACAGGCTATCTTCAGCCTGATCAATTAAAACTTCCATAACTATACATTGTGCATCATAACTGGCATATTTATACACATAATTCAAAATTTGTACATTTGTAAACTGCACACTTGTAAATAACATATCTCTACATTCATTTAACCAATTACAATTTTAATCTACACTTCTACGTCTGTATATAGTGCATTGTTTTTTTTATATTAGTGTTATATTCCATCCCTACTGTGTTATTCCTATGCATGTCTGCACTATCATGTATGTTGCACTATGTCCGTACTTTCTTCTGCACTGAAAGCTCCTGTCGTCAGGTCAGATTCCTTGTGTGTGTAAACATACTTGGTAATAAAGCTCTTTCTGACTTCTGATAGGAATGTAGCTTGAAACGGATTTGTAAAAATTGGATTTCATGTGATTTTTTGCTGTTCACACATGCTAAATATGATCAGATTCCAATCAGATATGCACAATAACCAGATTTGGACTGACAGTCTGAACAAGGCTTTAGACTAAGTAGAGATTTAACACACCTGGTTCGTCCAGTCTCAGGGTCCAGGACCCGACGGATGACGCTTTGCTTGGCCTCATAATCTTCCTTTGTCATTGGTCTCTTGGTGCAAAAACTGGCCTTCTGTTCATCAGTCATGACTACAGTGAGAGAGAAATGTCATTTTATCTCCAGCAAATTGCCAGTAAAAGACATATATTGAAATTATTTTCTTTTTTAGATATTAAACAAAATATTAGATGTTACTTGTGTATTTCCAGTGTGTAATACCAAAGACTATAGAATACTCAAGACGTGTCACTCGTATAGTTTTGAATGGGGAAAATGCAACGCTCAATATAGCCGCTCAATCGCAGGAAGCCCCGCCTTCTGAATGAAGGAGCCAATCGCTAATCGGTAAAGTCAGCGCGTCACTGCAGCTGCCGTCAGAAATCCCGGTTGCTATAGAAACAGTCAGCGTTTTGAGACAGGCGCTCAGGACTGCGCATGCGCACTGGCTGATCTAGCCTGCATAATAAGCTTTTTATAACGCTATTTGAGCAAAATAAACAACATTTATGACACAGTTGATATCAGATTTCTTTGGTGATTTCAAATATGAAATTTAATCGCAAGCTTAGTGAACAGTTTTGTAGAACTCGATGTTTCCCCATTCAAAGAGATAGGAGTTGCACTTGCATGCCCGAGAGGCGTTTCAAAGATGGACTGCCGAGTGACATGACTTGTCTTAAAGGGACTTTGTCACACGCTTGAGGTATTCGGCCAATTACAACGCACTGGATAGCTGGCCAATCAGAGCACACCTCCTTTTTTAGACCGATGAGCTTTGTAAAAATCGACACATTTCAGAAAGGCGGGGCATAGAGGAGAAACAATAATGTACAGTATGTGGAAAATAATGTGTTTTTTGAACCTTAAACCACATAAACATTTCATTACACCAAATACACAAAATAATGTTCTTTTTAGCAGCATCATATGACCCCTTTAAAGGGACTTTGGTAATACGCAGGTGTGCACATACCACGGCCGTGTACTTTAGCTTCTTCACTCTGCCAGTTCTTCAGGTATGTTTGAGGTGTTTCATCAGAAACAGCATTTGATACGGAAGCTGCTGCTCTTTCAGCTTTCAATGCTAGCTTCTTTTGCCGCTTCTTTTCCTTTTTCTTTTCATGCTTCAGTTTCTTAACTTCTTGGCGTTTCTTTTTTTTCTTGGTCTTTTTTTCTCTGGATGCGGAAGTGGAGCTGGAAGACGATGAAGAGCTGGAGGGACTTCTCCTTTTCATCTTTTTTCTGTCTAATTTCAGATCAGAAGTTGGGAGACATGTTATACGTACAAGCTGTCGTCACAAATACAGAATATGCATTAATTTATGAATACACAATCTACTACATGCCTTCTGTTGTCTGATTGACAGTACATACTTTTTTAGCAAGTAAAAGGCCTTTTAGATAAACGTCCACTTTTTAGATTGTGTGTTTGCTGTGAAATATTTACAGATTTTTAAGAAGTAAATGTTAGAAAAACTGTTGTATTGTTTTTAATATTTCAACATGAACACTTACTGGACTGAAGCATTTTAGGTTTGCTTGATTAACCAATAACCATACATAATTTTTTTTTAGAAAAATCATGTTAAAATGTGAGTATACTATATTGAGAGCAGCACTTTCCCTTACCAGATTAACGTTCATGTCTCTTTTGAGGGCTTGGACTGGATCTCCTGGCACTTGATGATGACAAGCTTCTGGATTTGCTCTCATCTCTGTGTCTGCTCTTAGATCTGCTACCAGCATCACTCCCTCCCATGAGTAATAATCTACTTGTGAAACAGTCAGGAAAGTAGTCCTGTTTTGTTTCTGTTTTAAAGCAATATGACCTTGTTAAAAAATCACTGCTATCAAAGTGCAGATTAAAAACAACATAATAGTACAATGTATACCAAATATAGAATGCTGGTAACATAATCCTGTTTCCACCACAGGATAAAAATAATAATAAAAATGGTAAATGCTACTTTTTTCCTCGCAATTCTGAGATTCACCCCCCAGTTACTTTAACAAAACTGGTTCTAATGCACTAGTACATTTGTGTCACACCACAACATTTTTAACATATTAATAACATTGAATTAATACAATTAAAAATAAAAGATATAAATAAAAAGGCGATTTTCTCGATATTTAGATTTTTTTTTTGCACCCTCAGATTCCAGATTTTCAAACAGTTGTATCTCAGCCAAATATTGTCCTATCCTAACAAACCAAACTATTCAGTTTTCAGATGATGTATAAATGATAATTTCAAAAAAATTGACCTTTATGACTGGTTTTGTGGTCCAAGGTCACATTTATTTTCTCGCAATTGTGTCTATATCTTGTAATTCTGAGAAAAAGAACTGTGAGATAAAAAGTTGCAATTACCTTTTTTAATTCACCATCACCACCTTCCATATAATTTCATCAAGAGATATACCAGCAATTTACTTGTTCAGGTTACTCGTTCCTGCAACAACCAAGCCAATGAGAGCAGTTGTGGGGCGGAGCAACGCGCCTAGCCACACCCCAAAATGCAGCCCCTCCCTGTTCTGTCTATGAATTGAGCATACACGAGTGCATACAAAAAACTATTAGCATTCATCAATCTCATAAGCGGCACCTCACGTTATGAAACAGCCTACTGCAGCTTGTTATAAGAAACTCCTTAAGTAAGAAGACCACTTGTGAATATTACACCTGGCCAGGTAAAAGTAAAGTTCAGTATGACTCTTCTGCACTGCCACCTATTGTTTCGGTGAAAAGTGCAATGGCGAGGACCTCGTTTTAATCTCGGCTAGTGTTTGGCGAGGACAATTTAAAAGCATAAACAAAACTTAAAAACCGCAGCACGACCGCAAGTGTGTGTACTGAGACCCTGAGCTGCAGAAGACGTGCAGAATATTACATCTCCTCCAGGTCTCTACTAATCTGATATCAGCACATGCTTCTTATAGTGACTCAGTAAACGTAGCCAATTAATACTTACTTGTTCACCAATTCAGAATGTTTTCTTTCTGCTTTACAAGACATTTAGATCAGTAGCTTGTACTTCAGGCACGGCGCCAGAATTTTTTCTCTACCGGTGCTAAGGGGGGGCTAGACCAATATGTGGGGGTGCTAAGAAAATAAATGATATTACCTCGTTTTAATCTCGGCTAGTGTTTGGCGAGGACAATTTAAAAGCATAAACAAAACTTAAAAACCGCAGCACGACCGCAAGTGTGTGTACTGAGACCCTGAGCTGCAGAAGACGTGCAGAATATTACATCTCCTCCAGGTCTCTACTAATCTGATATCAGCACATGCTTCTTATAGTGACTCAGTAAACGTAGCCAATTAATACTTACTTGTTCACCAATTCAGAATGTTTTCTTTCTGCTTTACAAGACATTTAGATCAGTAGCTTGTACTTCAGGCACGGCGCCAGAATTTTTTCTCTACCGGTGCTAAGGGGGGATAAGACCAATATGTGGGGGTGCTAAGAAAATAAATGATATTGATGACGTCAGGCTAAACCGGGGCTATTCAAAATTCTGACGGGGCTATAGCCCCCCCCTAGTCACGGTGTAGCGCCGTCACGTCTTCTGCAGTCTGCAGTCACATGAAACAAAAGCATGCCGGAAATCCGTTTTCGTCATCTCTTCAAAATAAAAGATCTCGCGCGTTCATAAAAAAAAAAAACCACAACATAAAAACAGATGTGTTAAATAAACTGTATTATATATTTAATGATGTGCTTTAAATTTATATGTATGCATTTGGCGGACGCATTTTTCCAAAGTGACTTACATTGCATTCAAGCTATGCATTTTACCGCTTCATGCATATAACCTTGGCGTAGCGCCATGCTCTACTGTTTGAACTTGGGGGGAATAAATAAAATAAAAGAAGCGATTGGTCAATAAATCACAAATATTCCTTAGATGAATAAACTGTTGTTGCAAAGGTTATTTGGACAGTTTTCTTGCATGCTGATTCACAAGTATTGACCGATATTGGACATGTGACTCATTCCACAGATCCACATCAGTGCAACAGGAACCAGTATAAACACTGACTTCAGTTGTTTTAGATTGTTCACATTTCTTTATGAATAAATATGCTGCAAAATGTCTGGCAATCTCCTATTATAATACTTAAACATACAAAAAAGCAAAGCTGTAACAGTGAAAACAAAAGTGAAACTTGTGTTTAATGCTTGGCCATGTAACTGAAAAATATACTTGTATGTTTTGTTTAAGCTCCGAATGAAAAAGCACATTCATGTTCTTAAACCTTTAAATATATTTAACTAGACTATGGAAAGCAAAAATAGCCATTAAAAATGTTTTTTTTTCCCCCCCCCCGCACTAGGAGACCCTCAAAATGAAGTCGGAGGGAAGCACAGCGTGGAATGTGGAGTGAGCTGAGAATGAGGACGTTATGAGGACGCTGCCATTCGAACACGTTGAGGGGGGGTTAAAATTAAATTTTTTGCTGCCTTTATTGTATTTTTCATTAGCATGGCTACGGTCATGGGTCCAACACCGCCTGGAACTGGAGTAATGTAGCTGGCCTTCTTTTTAACACCTGTGGAGACATATATCAAAAGTGATTCAAACAAAAACTAGATGAGTAAATGTTGATTACAAACTTGGATGTATGCTTGAGAAAGCCTTGTCTGAAAGTTTGAAATATCTCTGAAAAGCCTGAAGTTTGAAAGTTTCTCTGAAAAGTCAATGAAATATAGCAAATATGGGTCCCACTTTATACTAGGTGGCCTTAACGACTATGTACTTACATTTAAATAAATCATTTGGTACAACTTATTGTGTATTGTGTACATGTTTTTACATTATATTTTAAAAACTAACTGCATGTAATTACATCTGTAACTAATTTCTGTAATTACATTTATAATTACACTGTTCCCTTATATCTTAACCCACACTTAAACCTACCCATACCATCAAACCTGTCCCTAACCATATCCATATCCCACCTCAATAGCAGCAAAAGTATTTTGCAATACGATATGAACACAATAAATACAATGTACTTATTTTTCATGTAAGTACATAGTAGTTAAGGCCACCTAATAAAAAGTGTGACCCAAATATGTTTTTGTGAGCTTCTTGCTAGCATGACTTTGTGCATTGCTAACATGTTTCTAACATGTTGCTCACATCATTTAACACATGCTCGCATGATTTAGCATGTTGCAAGAATGTTTCTAGCCAGATTAAACATGTTGTCAGCATGTTTCTAACATCAACACATTGCTAACGTTTTAACACGTTTCTAGCATGATTTAACACGCTGCTAAAATGCTTCTAACATTAATTAGTACATTGCTCGCATGTTTTAGCACATCGCTAACATGTCTGTAACATGACTTCACTTTAACATGTTTAGACATGTTGCTCGCATGATTTAGCACATTGCTAGCATGTTACATTGTTAATATGTTTTTAACATGTTTCTAGCATGAAGTAATACATCATGTCTTAGCATTTTACTTGTATGATTTAGCACTAATCAATGTAAGTCAACAGGAGATTTTCAAACAATAATCTTAAAACTTCTTAAAATCCAAAAAGAAACAGGCTAAACTAAAAGCAGATATGCAATGTTTAGAAATCCCAAACTAGAATCTCTGAGGAATATACAGTAAAGTGCAAGCACAACAATCATTTGAACCGAGAATCTCAGAAAAGCTTTTATCCCATTATTACACCAGTCACAGTACTAGTTGCGCTTCCTTCTTACCTTCAAAGTCCACGTCACCAACCAGTCTGTTTTTCCCAGTCAAGGGGTCCAATATTCTGTTGATTCCAACATCTATAACTGCTGCACCCTCCTTTATCATATCAGCAGTGATGAGGTTGGGAATACCTGAAGGGAGTTAACAGTGTTTGTGGCCTGGGTGCCTGAGAGCACTACCCAATGATATACATAGCGGTAAACATGTGTTAAAGGGGTCATATGATGTTGCTAAAAAGAACATTATTTTGTGTATTTGGTGTAATGAAATGTCATTAAATGAGGGTTTAATTAGAAAATTGAAATTTGAACCTGCAGCAGCAACGATAATGTCTGCGATCTGCGTGTGCTGACGGAGCTGTTCTTTGGGAGTGTAACGGTGGGAGATGGTCACTGTGGCATCACCTGAAACAAAAAAGGCATGATGCTTTATACTAATTGCCTTGTATCACCAAAGATCATCAGAACTGCACACAAATGCTTTTGCTTTTTTTGCTCACAGACTCACCTCCTGGCCTTTCATGTCTGCCGTCTGTGTGTAGCAGCATTGCAATGGGCATCCCAACGTTCTTGGAGCGACCAGCAACTACCACATTCTTACCCAGCGTCTGTATGCCTATGACAAAAGACGGGTTCAGTCAGCATAAACATTCACTGCCACATTGAATACAATATGCACATTGAATATACAATAATGTTGAAAATTATGTACATTTGTAAATAAAGCAAATGCACATTGTATTCCTGAAATGCATGTTAAACTCACAGAGCAGAGAGTTTGTGAGAAGAATTTACTGTGAACTGAACCGCTTTCAAACAGCATCAAAGCTGCACAAACACACCGCAGAATGAACCATCCTTAGCTAAATTGCAACCCTTTATTCAATAACTGTGATTTCCATTGCTTTTTGATCAGTTGTGCACAAACCCTCATTTGGGCAAGTTGGGCAACCCTGCCCTAGATGGTTGCTTACTGTCTTAAGTCTCTAGGAGTCTCTATTTGGGTGTCTCCTTCAATCCATGTCTATGGGATTTGTTCACCGATTTTAATATCTGCATCTGATTGCTTAGAAAGGTAATAGCACACCTCTCCTCAACAATCCACACAGTTTGAGGTATCATTTAACCCCAAATTAAAATTCAACATCCAACAGCTCCCAAACTAACTGCTGGGGTTCAAATGACGCTGTATGATCCACTGGTTAAATTATGGGTTTCTCACCTGTGCGTTTGATAATCTCCCAAACCCCCCAAGGAGTAGCAGGCAGCATAGTTGACTGATCCAGACACATGCGACCAACATTGACCACATGGAAACCATCAACATCTTTCCCTGGGCACACGGCATTGCAGATACGTCGCTCATCAATGTGATCTGTGTATGAGAGGAAACCACTTAAAACAACTTGACAATCCCACAATATAATTGGAAATAATATTCAAGTCTAGTCTTTTATGTCCTTTTTGGAAACTCTAGTTCAATCTGGAATAAAGAGAACTAAACAAAACTAACTGGTCAAAAATAGTTTGAAATGACCGGCAAGTCTCACATTAAGCCTTAATCCAGGGGTGTCAAACTCAGTTCCTGGAGGGCCACAGCCCCGCCGAGTTTAGTTCCAACCCTGCTCCAACACACATACCCATCTATTTTTCAAATAAGCCTAAAGGACCTGATTAGCTGGATCGGGTGTGTTTAATTAGGGTTGGAGCTAAACCGCAGGGCCGTGGCCCTCCAGGAACGGAGTTTGACACCCCTGCCTTAAACCTAATGCAATTGTTTCTAAAACCCAGCACTGACCATGTAAAATGTTCAATAACCAACAACTATGAGGCACTACATCAGCACAGCTATAGCTCTTCTGTTAACCTACCAGGAAGTGGTAACTGTACCAACAGACCGTCTACTCTGTGGTCTGAGTTGAGTTTCTCAATAAGGTCAAGTAGCTCCTCTTCACTGATACTAGAAGGTTTCAGGATGGTCTCGCTACTAATGCCTACAGAGAATAAGAGAGAGCAGTGATACAACAAGCAAATATATGTATTAAATAAAAATTTATAAATATAATATATGCATTTATAAAAAAGCATTTATGCCAATAGGCCCCAAAGTGCCACTCTAGTCAGATTTGCTTGTGTGAGTTTGTGTAGAGTCAGAGTGTAAGGTCCTGTAAGGAGTCACATGTACACTCAAAATAGACTTGCATACTGTATACAGCTAACAGTGGAAAGTGACACCCATCTCTTACATACTACAGCAATACTGAAGACAAAAACAGACTCACGGCTGCTTTTCATTTTCATTGACTATACCTTCCAAGTCATCCATTTCATAATTAAAAAAGTAATTAAAATTTCAATTTTGTAAAGAAATTAATATTTAGGCATATCTACAAATCTCATTTCAAGCATTCAAGCTTAAAGGGATAGTTCACCCAAAAATTAATATTCTGTCATAATTTTCTCACTCTTGTGTTGTTTCAAACCAGACTTTTATCAAAACACAAATGAAGGCAAAACCTGAGAAGTTTCTGTCCCTCCACTGAAAGTCCACACAACCAAAAATTTGATGAGTCAGAAAGTTCTTAAAAGACTGCAAACGTAATCCGTATTAATTGAGCGGTTTAATGAAGCGAGACACTTTGAACAGATGAATAGATTTCATTTAGGGTTTTATTCAAATATAAATGTTGATCAACACACATACAGCATATCATATACGGTTTTCAGAACTTTGCGCTTTCATCTTTGAAGGGCCAAATATCGGTGGAATGGGATTTCAATGGAAAGACAGATATCTCTCAGGTTTTATTAAAAATATCTTAATTTGTTTTCGAAGAAAGCCTTGAACTAGCAAGGAACAACTTGGAACAAAGG